TGACAAACACTCAATGGAACAATTTGATTGATATTCCTTACATATAAAAAAAAGTTGTTAAATTAATTCCACAAATTATTACATTTAACACTATATTCGCTAATTATGAAATTTTTATCGTAAAATTTCTTGTAAAATTTAGTGTAACTAACCCTTGCATTTCTTTCTCATTTTAAATCAAAGTTTCGAAAAATTTTAGTAACTTTTATATAAATTCATTTGAAATATCCTTAGGATTTTAACAAATTTCCAAAAATCTGAGACATCATTTCTTACTTCAGATGTTTACTATTCATAACGATGTATATGTTATAAATATTTTACTATTCTAGGATGGATGGATATGAGTGTGTGCGTTGTGTGAAAGAGAGACTATTTCTCTTTATATTTTTTTATTTCAATGCAGTCATTTTGCATTCGGTTTTGTTTACATTTTAGGGAGTTTACATGTTTTTATAAATGTTTTCAGTAGGGAATATTGTTCCTCTAAAACTTGCTTAGAATCTGCTAATCTGTCCTCAGCCATATTCATAATAATTACATGCTATTTTTTTTCGTTATCTTTTTCAGTTTATTTCTATCCTTTATTTTCCTTGTTTTTCATGCTATTTTGTGTACTTTTTCAATGTTTGAAATATATGTAAATGTACTTTCTATTTTTATCATGCATTCTTTCACATATTTGTTCTCTCACTGAATTATTTATGATGTAATTTTCTTTTTCCTAGTTTTTGTAATTAAAAAAAATGTTATTTTTGTTTTACTTGTTCTGTAATCCAAAAATTTATATGTAAAATTTCATTTTAATTTTAAGGAATTCTATTTCGTTTTATTTCTTGTTTCAATAATATTTTAAATTTATTATAGTTAATTTATATATTAGAAAAAACAGTATATATATATACAAATTTGCACAAAACATTTGAGCGCTGCAAAGAAAAGACATATTTAAATTTATTGTTGTATGTCAAAGGAAAGATCATAATTTAACTACAAAATAATAAGTTAAAGTACAATATATTTTAAGTTATCGTGGTAAAAGAAAAATCAGAAGATAAAAATTGGGTAAGAGTTACCAGAAATTCAATGGGTAGCATATGGTTTAGGATAGGTAACATACGGTTTAAAATAATTAAAAAGAAACTGCCGAGGTAAATGTTAACCTAGGTAAAAGTTTTCCATCATACTAAATGAACCTTATGCTTATAATATTTGTAAATTACAGCTATTAATGTTGCTTTGCTTGGTTTCAGGAAGCCGTAGGTTGAAATTACCGCAGTATCATTAAGATTTAAATATTATTCCCGGGTATCGTAATTTTTTTATTTTTCATAAAAATAATGAGCTAGAAACATAATTTTTATTTATTAAGATTTATCCACATTGTTACCATATCCCGAGTTTTACATTTCTCCTAGTGTTTTTTGTCCTTCCTAAGATCTTCATATTAGAACACAGCAGATTAAACTCTCTTCTTCGTGCTTCGTACTTGTAAATTAATTATTAAGATTTTTCTCATAAGAGACATGCATTACATCTCCGCAAAATTTTACAGCATTCATAAATTATCTTAAGTTTTTTCTATTGATATTGTTTTTCCTTATTTCTGCCTAATAATACAAGGAGTAGAATAGAACGACAGAAGCTATGCTGTCACAAATAATGTTAATCATTTTTACAAAATTTAAAATCAATGATTTTTTTTAAAAGCTCCGTTACTTAAATTACTAAGAATTATGAAAATTTCAATTTATTCATATTTTGATCTTAGTTTTGTTTCAATATGAAAATATTTTTAGAAAAGCAAAGAAATAGAATTTTAACTTCAAAACTTGTTTTTCCTATTTTTTTACAATTAGCAAAGCCAATTTTTTTAAAAATAAACAGAGATAGTTTTAAAAATAGAATGAATAGTTAATTTTCAGATAAGCTTTAAAGATTTTCTTTCTCAATTAATATTTATTAAAAAGGTATCTGAAATCAAACTCTCAAGCACTAAACTTAATGTAACAAAATATTCTCTGAAAAATTGAACTTTATGGCACTAAAACATTTCTCTGAAGCTTGAGCTAGCAAATGAATGATACGAATTTAAGAGAAGAGAAAGTAAAAATTATAAAATGTAATAAAAAAGTATTAGGAGTTTATTTAAGGAATATATGTTAAGAAAGCTCAAAAGAGTTAAGAAACAAATAGAAGTGTTAAGAAAATTAAACAGCAAAACGGGAGATTTAAAAAAACAAAACGAAATATTCTTTGAGATTCTGGACAGTTTTCAAGATTAGAAAATGGAACAATTTTCTCTCATCTATTTTTGAAGCACTTAAAATACGTAAATTAACAAAAAAAATTGTTTTCGTACTTTTTCTCACCTTCTTTTTATCGAAACAAAAAATTATTATTTTGTACAACCAATTGCTTCCTGCAAGAAAGAATAATTTTGTTGACTATAATGGTTTCAAAAATAACCTTAAGTTCCTGTAATTTTTACGGAACGTAACTGTCGTTTGGTGTACTTTTCATTTGTAAATGCTTTGGAGACAAAGAGATTTTCTTAAGCACAAGCGGCAATGGTATTTATAATAAGTTTCATTTTGCTTGTTTTATTATTTTCAATCACGCGCAAATTCAGCCTTTTAATTCCTTTCTTTCCCAGTATTTTTTCTATGATGTAAATCAATTCTTAGAATATTTTCTAAGTTGTTGGTTTACCTGATTAATAATTTATTCAAAACATTGAGTAAAATTATAAGAGGAGTATTAAGGAAGATAAAAAGGAGATAGTATTAAAATTTATTTAATAAAAGTATACGATTCGCACATTCACTTTTACTGTTATTATTGTATTTTATTTTTCTTACTGATCAATATTTTCTACTTTTGTTTATATATCAATATTTTCATATTACTGTTAAAATGCGAGCTGTTGCAGTACTGTACAAAACAGAATGAATTCAATTTCTTTCCTTTTTTTTGTCATGCAAAAATATTTTTATATATATAAAAGGATGAATGTAATTCTTATAAATAAAGTTATGCAAGATTTTGTAATAAAAAGAAGAAAAAAGGGTTAAGTATGCATAAAAAACCATAAATATTCGTTTTTTCATTCATTTGCTAGAAACTTAAAAGCCATAGATATTTTATTACATTCACTTAAATAATTTTGTACTTTCTAATCTGAAAATTGTGTGGAACACAATTCTTAATTTAATATATAAAGCAAGAGTTATTCTTTACATTTAAATAAAAAATTTCTATTTTTTATTTTAAAAAATAATTTTGGTATTTTTAAATAAAAAAATTCTATTTTTTATTTAATAATACCAAAACTCACAATGTTAAAACTAGTAAATATATTAACCTTCCAATGAAAATATTAGGTCAGTTTAATCTAGCTACACATATGAGAAGCTTTACTAACTAAAAAACATTAACCGTTACCCTAATTACTTCGCTAATGAAAAGTATTTTTATCGAAGAATCTTAATGATTCGAGTCACTTTTAAAATAGAGTACTACTAGCACAACAATTAGCAACATACAAGCCATCAAAAAGCGATCAACAATCTCTCCTCTCCCTCACTCTTCCCCGAAAAAGACACCCTATACTGCAAAGGCAGCAACTCGAAGTATTATTACACTGGGTACAGTAAAACAAATGTGAAAATATAACTTTATCTTAGCCACAGAATAGTGATAAAATATTTCTGTATAACTTTAACAAAGTGAAAGAAATTCTTGCTGCAATACTTAGACTTTTTGTTTTTGCTGTCATTTTCGATGGTTGATGATGGGGAGGGTGTAGATCGTGTTTAAATGGCTGGTACACAGCTAACTGTTACTTGACACTAGCACTAAATATATGTAGGTAGCCTGGATAATTAAAGTAGATTGGTTAATATTTTTAGGTTGGTTTATTTAAAATAAAGCCTTTCATTTAGGTGTTGCCAGATCTAAATGGTCCTTTGCTCAGAATGTAAAATTAATATATTTATTCGATCTATAATGATTAACATTGATTTACAGTCTGAAACTTTTTATCTTACCTGCCGGACATTACCTGCCATTTAATTTTTCGGTTCTTGATTAAACCAAATTTGATCCCGACTCATAGAACAGATTTTATTTTATTTTATGATGCCCTAAACTTTATAACAAGGAGTGTAATTAACAAATACTCGCTAATTTAAATTTCTTAACATTCTTCATGGGATGTTCTTTGAGTAAGATAGATATATATCTGAACTACCATCTCTACAACTGTTTTGTGTAACGCTTAGAGACCTATATTTTTTCAAGTTTTAACAACATTTACAAGTTTTAACAATGAGTGTTAGTATAAATTAAAATATATTGAATTTTTCGTGAAAACTCTTTATCATAATTTTCAATAACAAAATAAATTGGGGTGCAAAAGGTAATTCGTTTTGAACTAGGTACTAAGGACATGTTTCACTGAATGAAAAATTAGTTATGCAATTAAAAGGATTTTAAATTGGCCAAAATAACTGGCTGCTCAAATTGACCCTATACTCCTACTGACTTATAAAAATTTCATATTTCTACCTCCATCTTAAATAGTTATATTTAACAAGGCAGTTAAATTTAACTATCAATAAACGAATCAACATTTTTTTTTTTTTTTTTTTTTTTTTTTTGTTATTTTTCTGCTGTAGTTCTAAAAACGTGACTGAAGAAAGAATTATTTTGAATTCGCCAATGGATTTCTTACAAGAGATTTTTCTAACATTGAAAAAATACTGTGTCTAGGAAATTTAGCCTAAGAAACTGTCTGTGGATAAAAGACGAAAGCACGTTCGTACTTGGAATGTGCTGTTTAATGGGCTATCAGAGTTTTATAGAATGTAAAATTGGGTGAAGCAATTCGATGAAATTTTCTGTTTTAACAAATATCATTCGCATATTAACTTGTCATAAATAAATGAAACAAAATGATATTAACACATGTACGAGTAGAGGTCATGTAACAGTAAGTGCCCGCGGTAGCCTAGTAGGCATGGCAGCGGACTCGTGACCGGTGGTTCCCTTCGAGTTGTTGGTTCGAGTTTTGAAGTCACTGACGATCCACCGTGTGGGAGGGGCTGATGCACGTTAAATCTGTCGGTTCTCAAAGCTCTCCCGTGACGTGGTGTGGAAGTTAAGAGAGGGAGTGGCAGCTCATGAATCATTCTGGTCATATGACCGAGGTTAAAAATTACGAGGTCCGTTTCCAAAAGCCCTCGTGTTGTTTCTAGTGAGACGTTAATAAAAACCAAACCTCATAACTGCAAAAAAGAGCATATAATATGGTCATTTAGATGTAAAGAAGTTAGTTTAATTATTTATACGAGTTTACGAATGCAATCTATTAATGTAAATAATAAAGAATATAGTACAAGAATTATAACTGAAAATCTGTATGTATATATATATATAAAACTAAAAAAACACTTATGGAAAATATTTGTAATATGTATGAAATGTATTTATTTTATAATAATTAGTAAACTTATGTAAGCAATAATAACTAAGTAATTTTGATCGTACTTTTAATTTCATAACATATAAATTAAGATATCTCACAGAAAAAAAATAAGCATTCTTATGTGTATTCTTAAGTAAATAAAGCAACAAAAATACAGTAAATAATAGAATGGGACTGGGTGACACAATCTAAAGTATACTGAAATCATACCTAGCACATTGAGCTGAAAAGCTAGGATTTATATCAGATTTCCCACGTAACAAAATCCAATACCTTCTTTCCTCAATTTAGTTTTTATTTGATTTTTTTTATTTGTGTTCTACTTTTATGGTGTTCCATTTGGCACTTTATTTAGTTTCTTTTTTTATTTACGTTTTTTACATCGAATACAAATATACATACTTTTGGATATCTTTCCTCAATAAGCGCACATCTCTCTCCAACCAATCCTAGATAAGGTTAAGTGCTTAAGAGTCAATCCCTATTCTTGTAGATAGCGAACACCTATTAGTGAAAAAAAATAATAATGTTTCGTTGTGCATGCGCGTTGTAGCTGTTGATTGTACATCGTACGTTGTTTTATAGCGAGAAAGGAAAATAAATGAAGTAATCGAATTTAAAAAGAATACTATTGTTGCAGTTTATTATTGAACCTCGCTGAATGATATAAATAAAAATGTATTATCGAAACAAAAGAAAACCTAATTTCTGTAAAGTTTCTAATTTAAAATACATTGTAAAAATTGTCTAGCTTTCTAAAGTCAATCAAATAATTTCATTGTGATTATTAATATCTATTCTTTATTGTATTTTTTACTGTATCATGTGCACCTTATGATATCAGTTTGGTACAACGCGATCAATAGCATTGATACAATGTCCCCACCACCATGGAATAGTAGGTTTTAATTTGGGATAGTGCCAGTTGTGGACACTGTGAATTCATAGTTAAAAGGCCTGCAGAGAGTCACAAACCCACTGCATACTTAATATTCAGGAATGTTTCAGATACATTCGAAGAGGAAAGAGCGCTTTGTTTCTCTTTGAGCTTGAATCCCTTCTTGCGATACATTTGAATAAGGAGTTTTCTAGGATTTGGCACATTACAAACACACTCACTCACGTGGATTCGACATTGACACACTTTTCACTCTCGAGCCACATACACACCTACACTTTAGTAAGCACCTAAATTATATACTCGAATCTCACTTCAACGTTTGGGGCACCACTTGTCAATCTCCGGGTATGTTAACTTTAATCCTGTTTTTTTCAATAAATGAATGCACCAAATGATGGTCTTCTCATTTTCATCATTGTTCTCATTCATTATATTAAATTCCTGTTTACTATAGCAGCTTCTATTCCACTACACGATTCACTTTGACTTAATTAATCTAGAATTGCATAGCTTAAAGTAATTTATATAGCTGAGTACAAGATTCGGTATAAATTCTTATAAATTAATTTTAATATCGTCCCTGGGTACCGACCCCCATCAAGTAACGAATTCAAATCGAGTGGTGGTGGACTACGGTTTATCCCATTCTCATCATGTGTACTATTTTACAATACAACCTGTACCGTCAGTGATTCGTATATGAACAGGGATAACGGAAATGACTTTAACATCGGTGAAACACCTATTGTCCACCATGAAAGATTCAAATCCATTCACTAACAAGCAGTAGAGGTAACAGGCTGATATTCTCAGTTTTAGAGAAATGTTAATTAGATATTCAATAATTAATGTTCGAAAATTCATAAGAAATAATTCGAAACCATTCTCACATTTTGTGAAAAATATTTCCATTCTATAACTACTATTTTCCAGCTGTTATGAAAAATTCGTATATTAGATGATAGCATGATTATCATCTTTATAATGTAAAGTTATTTAGAATAAAATACGAGCCTTAAATATCAAGAAAAAATATTCTTTGGTACGTAGTGGCATCTGAAATATATTTAAAATTTCCATATAAGTTTAAATGAACTTTATACTTCTTAAGGCTTCCTGCAAAAGTATTTGCTGTGAAGGAACGAGTTCGAAATTCTTTTATTTCTTAATTGTACTATTTATTAAAAATTCATCTTCAAATAGAAGTATATTCTTGTATGACAACATACTATGTTTATTTGATTGTTCATCATTTATTCAAAAAAAGTATACATGTCTATCAATCAGATAAGATGAACTGTTTTAGTAAACAGATAAAACCTTAATAATAGAATTTGATTCTAGAAAATGCACTCGAAGTCAAAATTGATACCATTGTTACTTGAAATATTAATCATTTGGAATAAAACAAAAAGTATAGTATTAAATACTTATTTTTCTCTTTATTATATCGAAACAAACATAACAGATAATGCCTAACATAAAAAGGACGTGCGCGATGGCATTTCTCTCACTTTACAAATAATGAAAATTTTATTTTTTTTTATTTAAACATCTTAAGAAAGAAAGTTATGTTTTTTTCAAATAGTTGTTTTTATATACAAGAACCATTAATTGCATGCATTGACCTCTAATGGTGATTTAAATTTCACTAAAATATTGAAAGAAAAAATGCCTTTAGTACAGAATCAATAAATAGTTTTAAGTAAAACTTGTGAAACTAGACAAAAATCAGACATTAAATTACTCACGTGAGATTATTAGGGCTTTAAGCAATATTTAGTTTAGAACTTTTGGAGTCACGAGTTCAACATTAAAAACACTGTCTGCGAGATGTCTTTCATAAAGCAACAGCTTTCTATTTTTATGTTTCCTAGGCAACCACTGAAAACTTGAGGTTCGTTCTATCCGGAGTAATTACGTCTCTTTTTTTTCAACTGACAAATTATTTTGCTATATCTTTTTCTGTAATATAACTGAATTCGAACGTTTTTTAATAAAACTGTCAATCAATGGCTTAGAATTTTAAAATTAGTTGGACGACAGTTGTTCAGTACTGTTATGGATTCAAAAAGTATGAGACTGTTCTAAAAATAAGTATAATTTGACAGTATAGTCATTTCCACCGAAGAGTTTTTATCCTATAAAGGGACTATAATAAAATATTGTTTTGGTTATTTTAATTGATTTAATGCTGATTATAATACGCTTCACACATTAGAATTGTGAAATTAATAAAAGTAGCATATAAGACTTCAGATTTCTCATTAAAATTTATTTTTTACAAAACTCAAAATGCTAATAATGCACTCGAAATTTCGTTATAGATGGTCCTTAGACTAATTTTACACTAATTGATTACGTACATTTGATCAAGTTTTCTGTTTGTGTTGTTTCAGAAGTACCATTTTTGATATTCATTTTTCGATTCTCATAATTCTGGTTCCGTTCAGGCATTAATTTTTATATGTATACTAAGAGAGTTTTTAAGTGTCGATTCTAAATATGGAAGCTGCAGCGTTACTGTCGCCATTCCAAGCATATGTTCTCAGCACCCATATTTGTCTATTAATTACAGATGACAGTACTGTAGTATCCGCCCGTGTTTATGTTTGTTGTGTGCATTTAAAATGCATCCGATTGCCAAATACGCACCATAATTCAATTTCTGAAAACAAGAGGTGTGAAGTATACCGAAACTCATTAGCAGAATAATGAAGAGTTCGTATATGTATCTCATATGAGAACGAACATAAAATAACGATCTGGAGGAATTTAACGTCATCCAAACAAGTGAAGCTCAAACAAATAATTTTAGCATGCAAAATCATGTGCACTGAGTTTTGGGATTGGCTGGAGGAGTTGCTTGATGATATTTTGCTTCAGGGTCACAATAAATTTTGAGACATGTTGTGACACCTTAAATGAATTGAGTTGCGTCGTCTAATACAAAAGACGTGACATGCTGTGTAAAGGCACTGTTTTGCAGCATGACAGTGCTCGTTCCCATGTGGCTCGTCGAACTCAAGATCTCTTCGTATCGTATGGCTGGTAGCAACTTGATCATTCTCTGTATAGCCCTGATCAGGCGTCCAGTGACTACCACTTGCTCCTTCACTGGAATTATATGTACTTTAATAGTGGAGATATCTATGTTAAATAGTAAATTTGAGTGTCTGTTTATTATAAAAATTAAAAACCAGAAAATTTTATACCTTTTTTTTTTCAATACCGAAACGGTGCTTACACACACGCATGCACACACACATATATATATATATATATATATATATATATATATATATATATATTCTTCATAACGCATTAGGTATGTTGTGAAAAATACATTGGGTCAAAAGAAAAACGAAATGCATTAGAAATTCTATGGTAATTCATTGGGACAAAAGAAAGTGTAACTCAATTTAGTATCGTTTTGAAAGCCAATTCTCCCTACCAGATTACTAACTTCAATTTAGGTAAAATGACCAACCCTAGTGTGTTTGGTTGGAGAACTTATTGCTTGGAGAGAACGATTGGCTGCCTAATAAGCAATTACAAAACTCCATCTTCATTTATCAGGTCCAGCCACATTCAACAAATCCAATGAAATCTGTCTCAAATTCCCCATTTTCCAATATTGCGAAATTTTCTCCTTCATTTACGCAACAGTCAATATAAATGTATATTTTTCTACAACTGAAAGCTAAATTTG